CAACTTGTGCCTTAATCAACACTTGTTGCCAGGGTAGAAAAAAAAAAGGATGGTGGTGGTGGTAGGAATCCAGTTATTTTCTCTTTACCTTGGAAGGGAAAAAGGAGGCAGGGAACCAAAAATATCCCTCCCAGCAGCTGTCTCTAAATCGAAACTGCCGTGTTTCAGGATCTCAAACGCATCTTCCAATGAAATGTTGGGGGCTGGTTATTTTCTGTCCCTAAAGTCGTCTCAGTTGATCACAGGCTTCTGTATGTGAAAGAGTTAACCACAAGTTTACCACAGAATGTCAACCTCATGAAAATTAAAGGGTTATCAGATAAGAAAAACAAGGGGGTAGAAATAATACTCTTGTTCTTTCTCTGAAATCTAAAAGCAGTTTTCCTTCAAATCTTTGAAACCTATTTCTTGGGACAGAATAATATTTTTAGTAGAAATATGCTACATCAGTGAATCCCACCCACAGTCTTCCGCAAGGAGAGGCTTCTGCGAAATTAGATGGTAGAGTTGAGGAAATTTTCAACTGGATAGCAACGGAATTTCCACTGAGATTTTAAAGAGTACAAAATAAGTAAGTCTGATGCCGGGTAGAAACTGAAGACCGGAAAGGAAACTTAAGACCAGAAAGGAAACTTAAGAAAGAAGGAAAAAGGAGAAAGTCTTGTGAAACGATGGAGACTTCGGGAACAAAGTGTTTCTCCTTGGAACTGTAGCCCAGTCCTGGTGTCAGGAAGGGCTGGCCACATTGACACAGGCCCTAATTGTGTCAGATACACCAAATCCACATAGACAGAACCTGGGTTGACCCTGGCTCAAATGTTGCCAGCAGCCACCCGCCTCCTACTGTCTCCACACCCATCTCACAGGACTGCCTCTTGCTCCCCTCACTCTGAGGCACTCTTCCTTCCTGCTCTCAAGAATCACACTCAATTTTAAAGAAGACACAAGTGTATACTGTTGGGACTGAGTGTTTGCATCCCCTCCCAAATTCGTACGTCAAAACCCTTCTGTCTAATGTGATGGTATCAGAAGGTGTGGCATATAGGATTGGATGAGGGTGAGACCTTCATGAATGGCATTCATGCCCTTGTAAGAGGCATCAGAGAGCTTGCTTCCTCTCTCCGTTCTCCACCAAGTAAGGAGACAACGAGAAGGCGGCCATCTGCAACCCTGAAGCGGGCCCCCACCAGAACCCCACCATGCTGGCCCCCTATCTCGGACTTCCAGCTTCCAGAACTCTGAGAAATACAGTTCTGTTGTTAATAAGCCACCCAGTCTATGGTATTCTGTTATAGCAGCCTGAAGGGACTTAGACATCTATGCTGCGCATTTTTGACAGGGATCAAGCCCTTTCATGGAGGATGACAATCCAAGCATGGAAATGGAGGCCACCAACTAACTGAAGGGGAAGCACTGACGTAGGTTCCAGGGTTCTTGGTGTTTTGGGGACAGCCATGATCTACTTGTCTGCTGTGACTCCCTTAAGCCAGGTTCAGTATAGACAGACAGCAGCCTGAAAGTATTCTCCAAATCCACGTGCGGACAGGTGCTACCCCATAGATAGGAGAAGGATAAGGACAATCGGTGTGGGTGGGATGATGGGGTGGGCAACACTGGGAAGGGAGGAGGTTGTGTTAAGGTTGTTGATTAAATTATACCAGAAGCCCTCTCCTGTACTCCAGGGACTGGCCTCAGAAAAGTAAACTCAACTTAAAGGCTTTTGTTGAGTTCAGTCTGTGGACTCAGGGTGGGCTGCTCTCCCTCAGCCAGCGCCAAAGGAAACACTGCCTTCCAGCATCCCCGGAGCTCCCTTTAAAGTATCAGCTCTACAGCGTTCCTGCCTTACACAAATTCTTACTTAGCACATGAAGTCATGGGCTCTGATCATTTCGGCAAGCGGGTGCTCTTCTTTTCAACAGACACCTCAAAGTTAGTAGGTGTGACCACGGATGATGATCTTGCAACGGACATTACTACTGGCCTTCTTATAGAATTTAAATCCAAGGTGGCTGCATTTTCCAAGGATGTGGGAACTTAACATCTGTGACCGTGATTCCCTAGGAATTGCTTTGTGCTAAAAAGTGACCAATGGGACTCATCAAGGATGTGGTACTTAGAGCATGAACTAGATATACTTCCTTCCTTGGCTTGAACCAAAACCTTTAGTCCTGCTTAGGAACAGACTGGATGCAGGGAGGGGAGTCTGCCATCCCCCTGGGAGGTGATCCCCCTTAGTCAGCCCCATGTGGAAGAGAGATTACTTTTCACTCCACTGTAGGGCAAGTATTTATTAAGCTAGAGAATGTCAGGATGGAAAGGGGACTTAAAGACCCTCTCTATCAACCTGCTTGCTCTCATAGAGAGCACACCCTTTGCCCGAGGTGTCTCAAAGTTACAGTATGCCAGGTCCTGTTCTGAGCACTTGACACATATTGACTTTTCTAATCTTCACAGCCACCTATGAAGTAGGCTATTATGAATATTGATGATAATTAATAGAATTATTATTTTATAGTATAATATAATTAAAATATAATTAAATACATAATAAATATTTAAGATACATTATACAAAATACTATAGTGTAATTAATATAATTATGAATAAGAATCACTTAATAATTAATTATTAGATAAGTAGTTCTTATTGTTCCCATTTTATAGATGATGGAAGTGAGGCACCGACAGGTTCAGTGACCTTCCCAGAGTCACACAGCCCGTCGGTGGCCAAGCCAGCATTTGGGCCTGGCAGCCTAACAGGAGGAGGCACTGGTAACCACCACGCTCCCACCTTCCCTCCCTTTGTGTCTTCGCTGCACCCTGTTCCTGTGGCCACTATAGCCTCTGACCTCCTACTGTCTTGTGGCAAGGCTATGGTAGGCGACTCGGTGGGTGATGAGAACAAGCAGGGAGAGAGGTTGCTAACTTTGAGGGACTGTAAGGGCTGGAATCTCCAGGGACTGGGGCTTGATTGGATGCACGGGACCATTAAAGGGAAAGAAACTAGGATTTTGCCCAGGTTTCCAGGGCAGTTGGGTGGATGGGGGTGCCTTTCATTGAAACAGGACATAGAGGAGAAACAGCAGGCCTGGAGGGACAAACCTGGGTGTATAGAGTTTGAGAAGCCTGTGAGATATCCACGAGGAAAAGTCTGCTGGGCCTTTGGCTCTGCAGATTAGAAGCTCAGCAAGTCACGTATACTGAGCACCTGCAATATCCTGGTTACTTTAGGCAGGCTGCCTTGCGGAGCCTTACAGCCACCATTTTATACCCACAGCAACTGAGGCCCACGGAGGTTTAAGGAACCTGCCTACCATCAACTCTCCCCGCGCCACTCAGCACTTAAGGTCCGCCCCTCTCTGCCTCCCATCCCACCTGCCATCAATCATTAGCAGTGAAGCCAGCGCCGCCTCTCTAAAGCACAGATCGTGTCCTTCCCTTTCCTAAGACTGCTCTAGGGGATTCTGTCCCTCTCAGGACACAGTCCAAACCCCTGTACCTGGCAGGGCTCTACGACGTAGCTCACTCCAGCCTCACAAATTCTCTTCTCCTCCTCCTCCTCTCGCCTGAACCCTCCGGCGTAACTATGCGCAGCTCTCTGAACTTACCCCGTCTTTTCTCTTTGGCTTTGCTCCCGCTGTGCTTAAGACTCACTTCCCACTTTCTCCACGCCTACTTGTCCTGAAGGCCTCCCTCGTTGTCGTTTTTCTCTAGGAAGGCTTCTGGACCCTTTTCCCCGGCTTTGTGCCGTTCATCTCCCCTCCCAGACCACCGTGCCATTTCTTTGCGCAGTGCCTACCACACCGTGTCCATCAGATTGCCACCACCTTGCAGTGCCTGCAGAGAAGGGCACTCAATGATCATTTTAAAGGAAAGCAGAGTCACATGAGTCCAAGCTAGGATTTGAATTCAAGCCCGCAGACTCCCTAACTCATGAGCCCTTTCTGCTTTCCTAAGATGCTTTCCGGTTGGGAAGAATGCCAAGTAGGCAGATGAGACTCGGAAGATTATTCCAGTAAGGGGAAAGGGAGCCAAGCTCTGAAATCGCAGGGGACGAAGCTGCTTTGCAGGACAGGAGGAGATCTGCTGGCTGGGGTGCATGGAGTTGGGGGCCCCTATGTGCAGATGACATGCGGACAGTCCAGGTTAGAAAGAGGATTGGATGAGAGGCAGAGGAAACGTGATGGGGAATGATGTGAGCTCTTTGATGAGGGAAAAGGCATCATGAACGTTGCTTTCAGGGGATTACTTTGAGGGTGGGTCAAAGAGTGACTTATGATGAGAGACTGCAGGCTTGCCCAAGGAGCCCATGGGAGTGAATGATACCTGTTGACAGTTTGCTTCCTTTGTACAAGGATGGAGCAGATAGCCCAGCTCCATTTCTTTCTTGGGCACGTGAATTACTGCCTCACGACTGCAGTTTCCTCATCTGTAAAATGGGAGTGATCATAACGGTCCCCAGCTCATAGGGTTGTTCTGAGGATCCGCTGAGATAATAGATGCAGAGTATGCAGCCCGGTGCCTGGCTGGCCCAGGAAAATCTCCGTTGCCACAATTACTCTAACCCGAGGAGGAGGAAGGCAGGATGCTCAGACGGCCAGGCCCACTCTGGCTCGCCGTCCCTGAGCATTAGCCCATTGCAAACTCAGGCCAGAGGACCGAAAGACAAGAAGCTCTGGGGGAGAGAAAGTGAAACTACAGCCTGGTGAGTGAAAGGCAGCGAAAACCATAAGTGAAATAAGCGACAAAATGATCGACCATCTGGAGCTGAAATGCTAACCCTTTGTGGTCTCTGCTCTCCCGGGTGTGAGCAGGATGGCTGAGGAAACAGCTTTTTTATTTTAAAAAGGGTTTTGGTACTTTCTTTCTTTCTTTTTTGTAGTTGGTTGTTTTGCTTTCCACTTAAAATAAGGAGTTTTCTCTTCACAAAGATCCTTTTATTCTAAATCAGGCTCTGAACAGAGGTGTCACTACCACAGGGGCCGGAAGTAGATACCACACCGGTGCAGAGCTGGGTTGGAAGGCTCTGCCAGGTTTCATCAGCAGGGGAAGCCGCGACAGCCCCGGCCACAGCCGGGAAAGATGTCAGAGGCACAGCCTCGCGTAAAGTCATCCCCCCAAAAACTCCCGGGAAACCCACAGAGCTCTGAGACAGGAAGAAGGTGACGTCAACTTATGTTTTGGGGACTTCAAGCAAAACTCTTAGAAATGATTTGCATGATTTCTTTGCCCTTTACTTGGTATCATGATAAACTGATCTTTCGCTGAGGAGATGGGCCAATTTGCCACAAGAGGCTCATATCATGAAACTCTATTTTTTAAGAAACACTGTTGTTTTGCTTTTAAGTGCATAATAACGTAAACCGGACTGATTCCTGGACGTTTCAGACTGGGGAATGTTTCCCGCACAGCTGGGGACGTGGCAGTTGGTCAGCACGTCTATAGATGGTGCGTCTAAAACACTCAGGGGCCATGGGAGCGATCAAGCAGCTGTTCTTAAAGGAATGTAAATACTCCCACCTGAAATTTCCCGTATTCTGTGTAAAGGAATTTCTTGAGCAAAAGAAACCTCTGCGCATCCTCTGTCTAGATTATTCTAAACTCAAAATTAGTGGTGTTTGATTTTAATAATGTTGGTAACTAATAATGAATGACAAGACAATGCCCTCAGCCCTCCTTTCTGTCCCAATTGATAGTGTGAATGTGAGGCAGCTGTTGGATCAGGATGCGCTGGGACTGGCAGTGAGGATGAACATCTGATGTGTGTTCCATCCACTCTTTCTGTACACCTGTGTCTTAGATCTTAATCTGCGTTAGAATTATCTGTGCAGTGTATTTCTCTCCTGCTGGATGGTGAGTTCCTGGAGGCCAAGGACTGGCTTACCTTCATCTCTAACCCTGTATCTGATGCCTAGTCATTGTTCAATAAATATTTGCTGAACGAATGAATAAACAGATGAAGAAATAACGGACAGTCCTGCCACAGGCAAGATTGTCCCCAGCTACCCTGCTGCTTCCCTCCTCTGCCAGTCACACCCCTCCTGTCTGTCCATCTACCTTGGCAGCAATGTTTTCACTCCGAAAAGCTTCACAGCAGGGAAAACTCCCACCCTCATGCCTGAGAGGCTCACACCTCTTCTGGCCTTTGTTTTTTATTGCTGAGAACACAGAAAGCGGCGAGGCTTCGGAAGGAGGTATCTATTTCCGTCCCAAACAGAAAAGAGTGGGTGATTCCGTGGGCAGAGATTCCTGAACATGGTGGCGTTGACTCATGCCCGGAGGTGCTCAGAATTTCCTCTGTTTTGTGGGCGGCTGGGGCAGACTTGGCCCGACTGAAGTGCTTTCTTTGAAGCGCAGTCAAATGCGAGAAAGACCCCACAAGCTGCTCTTTGGAGGAGGGGGGAGGAGAGCAGCAGGATTCAGTGAATTGGAGACTCCGAGGACTAGATGGGTCTTACGAGGTCAGTGCCTCTGTAGGCACGGACACGTGAATGTGCACAGCCACAGGACCTGAGGGACATACCCCGCAGCAGGCTTCCTTCAACTTTTTAAGAAGTGAAAATAAACTTTATTAACCCAGCACAGATATTTTTACCTTTAGCAGCAGTTTAGAGGAATAGTAAAGAATGCAGTCTCTGGAATGAGACTGCCAGGCTCAAATCCTAGCTCCTTCCTAGTTGTGTTCCATTGGGCAACTTATGAACCTCCGTGAACCTTGGTTTACCGGGTGTAAAATGGGGATAATGAGAAGGCCTCACTTATTTTGAGGATTAACCGAAGTAACACTATGTTTTCACATGAGGCCTGAAAGATAGCGTACAGGCCACGAATATTAGCTCTTGTTATTATCATCATTGTTTAAAACATTTCTGGGAACAAGGATGAAAGCAAATGAGCCTCAGATCAAAAATAGGTATTGGTGTCAGCATTCGTGCACGGGCCTTAACTGGCCATCTGTTTGCCAGCTCACAGCTTTGCCCATCTGCTCCCCTTTCTTTCTCACTATAGGTAATCAGGGCCTCCTGGACACTACTCTGTTTTCCGCGCTCTTTAGGGTAAAGGAAGCAATCGCCCCCTTAGACCTTCCTTTTTATTCTTTAGAAACATGCTGCTCTTTCTTCTTTTGGGAAAAAGTACTCTATTGCTCCTCGTCGCCTGACACCAGACCGCTTTTTCACTGCATCTGGCATGAGGCGGATGGAGAATCTTGGAAAAGGTGAAGAAGCAGCCCAGAGAGCATGTCTGACTAACCTGACCCATGCCTTCCACTGAGGGGCAGGCCTGCCCAGAGGCATAGACTTCTGCTCTGCACCTGACTCCTTCCTTTCATCTTCCTCCAGCACGGCAACCTTCTCATCACCCCCCACCCATGGCACCTACATTTTGGTGCCTTAGAGTTTTCTGCTGCCTGAAATCCTCCTGTTCACGGGATGCCTGACACTGGGTTGAGAGCTGCTGATCAAAAGCCCCATGAACTGGGTGTGGGGGAATAGGCGTGCAGTGTCCGGATGGAAGCCCCTGGAATCTAGCCTAGCGGTATGCAGTTAGCTGGGGCTAGATCAGGGGCAAAATTTGGATGCAGGGAAATAAGACCCCAGACTTCCTGACTATTACCCAGAGGTGCCGTGCGGTACTGGTGATGCTGATCCAGTGATACGTAGTGGGAAGGAAATCTACCAGACGGCAATGACGTGTAGACACTAGAGGATTAGAGATGTGGAGGACTCAGGTGCTTTTCATCTGAGCAAAAGTATAAGTTTTTATCAGAGAAACACTAGTTTTTTGAACCTCCTTTTGCTCATCACACACACAAAAATGCTTACATACATATATATATATTAAATGTACGTCATTTATTTCATTGCCCTAGTAAACTCCTCAGTTTTCAGTTTCTTACTCGTGGATCATGATCCATGTATACAACTTTAGCAAAATCATTAGAAAATACCATCCTCCAACCGGTCTTCTGATATTCACAAGCACAAATTCAGAGCCAGTATGTCCCAGTGCCGTCTTCTCCGAGAAGCCTTCCCACACTCTCCAGAAAGCATATTACCTTCCCTGTTCTGATCTCTATGGCGTGCGTCAACTTTGCTATGTACTGCTTTGCAGTATTTGATCTTGTATCTTTCCCAGACTGGTTTTCCCGTTTTAGTTGCAAGTTCCGTGTGGGTAGACACAATGTGTGTTTCTTCTCCCACACGATAGCCTTGTTACTCAAAATGGGGTCCATGCACCAACGACATGGGTCTCACGTAGGAGCCTGTTTGAACCAGAATCTCAACCCCACCCTGGACATCCTGAATCAGAAACTGCTTCACAACAAGATCCCCGTGTGATTTGTAAGTACGTTAAAGTTTGAGAAGTACTGCATTAAGACATCTATTCTCAGTGAATAGAAATGAAATAATGGAGTCAGACCAACCATGGGAATCATTATTCTGTGGATTTCAATTCTAACTGCATCTTGACTCATCTGAGGAACTTAAACAGTGTTGTTGTTATGTCTGAGTCTCATCCCCAGAGAATCTGACCTAATTGGTCTTAATTGGTCTTGGGGGAGGCTTGGATATCACTTGCTAAAGCACCCCAGATGTACACTCAATGTGCAGCTGATGCTGGGAACCACTGCCCTAAATACATTTCCCAGTGGGACTTGTGGTGTCCTGTTGATGGATGCAAATCCCAGAGTAACTTTAAAACAAGTCAAGTAGCCAAAAACTCTCTGCGTAATCTTAGAGCGGAAAATACCTAAAAAACTAGAGACGATTATACTATTGTTTTCCCCTAAATGGGTGATTTATTTGAAAGTCTGGTGGGGGATTCAGTGATGGATTGTTGACTCATTGGCAAACACAGTTGGCTTTCTCTTGGCAGTCTTAAATAGGAACTGCTCAGCAGATGTTTCATCTCCATTGTTAAACCACGAGCGCTTTGAGGGCAAGGACTGTAACCTTTTTCGTCTCGGTGATCCTAATGTGTGAATGGATGGGTGGATGCATGTCACTGAGAGACAATGTAAAGACATGCAAGAATATTAGACTGGAATTTAAGAGGGCTGGATTCTAGTCCTGGCTCTTTACTTCTCTTGTATGTCTAGTGTCCTTGGTTTGTCTTTGGTACCCTCTTCTTGCTGTCTTCTCTAGGTACCCAGGCCTCTTAGGTTGACTTAGCCAAGCCAACTACAGCTCCCTTACCAGAGAGGGTAACTTCCTATGTCTCATTCTCTCTGTTCATGACTATGGGTGCTACAACATTAAAGAATGTGATCAGAGGTCTTACCCTGGTTTACAGGGAGGCTATAACTCCGAGAACTATACTCAAAATTTTGTGTTTATGTACATTTTTCTAAGGAGACTGTTAATAGAGCTCATCAAATTTTCTCAAGGACTCACCACTCAAAAAAGATTAAGGACCAAAAAAGCTGGATGGATTCTTACTATCACATTGTTCTTCTCGTTGAGAAGTTCAGGCTGTGTGTATAGGAGAGATAAATGAGGTCCACCTTTGTGTAGCGAGGTTCTCTGGGCCATTTTTTTCTTTGCCCCCTCACTGCTACCTGGGGCAGCGGCTGACTCCACCTAAGCAGAACTTCCTCAAGAAATTGTTAGAAAGGGTCACCCAAGAGGAAGACAGGAGAGGAGGAAGCTCTTTAAGGATCTCCAGTCCTTCCTCACTTCATACTTGCCTAGACGAAGGACTGAGTGAGAGAGGAGGGTCTCAGGGAGTTTAGAGATCCCCAGCAGCTTTAGAGGGCCCGAGTAGACCACAGACTGATGCCAGGATGGCACGCATTGTCAGCCCAGAGGGCAGAAATCCTAGATTCTAAGTCCTAAGGGACCAGAGGCTCTCAATTCAGCCTCCTGCCTTGTTTGCGAACACTGCACCGTTTTTGACAAATGTTCACTTAGGCTCTGCTTAAACACTCCAGAGAGAAGGAGCCCGTGACTTTGTGGAGAGTAAAGGGGTGGAGGAACTCCTTACTTTGAACATCTGGCTATTGGAAGCTTGACAAACACAAGTAAACCCATGGTTCCCGTTTTACCCTTTCAGTGGCTTCCTCCCCCCCAGCCTCAGTCACCTCCCCACTCAAATTCTCCTTCCTTTTCTGCT